TATATATATATATATATATATATATATATATATATATATATATATAATATTGACCCGTGGATCCTATTTATTAACATGTGATTGTTTCCACTAGTAGCACTGTTGGCCAACTTTTTCAACCAAATATTCAATATTTAAGACTGTTTCAAATAAAACCATTTTTAGAGCTATGAATGGCCCTAAATGATTGTTACACCGGAGCAGGCTTGGTGTGTTCGCATTAAAATATTCTGTCTCTAAAACTTCAACCTGAGCTTTCAATGGACAGAACGAGCTAATCTCAATTTGCACAAAACACTTTCCCCCACCGAGTGGAATCAAAGATTAGTGAATTCTACAGAATCTGTAAAAGATTTTTTTTTGTAAATCTATGTTTGGTGATAAAGAACTATGTACAGTTAATACTTCTATAAATAAATTCGTATAGTCAAACTGTTTTTGCGTTTTGACTTTTAAGATGTGATACGTTGCAGTTTCTTGTCCACATGAAGAAACGGACATGAGAAAAAGAAAGTCACCATGTTGTTGAAATTATGGAAAATAGGAAAGTCGTGTGTGAAAAACGAAAGTTACGTTTATAACTAGGGTTCTATGAATCCCTCCTGACCGCCAGAGGACGGTGCTGAAAGCACTGAATGAGTAATACCAACGAAGTCACAAGGAATCCTGAGCACACACCTCACTGAGGAGGCCCAGAGGACCCTTGCAGAAGACCCTGGCCCAGGGGACGAGGGGTGGCCACGTTCACTCTGTAAAATCTGGTGGCGTGCTTGAGGAAGCCCATGATGCGGCAGCACATGTTGCTGCTGATCTGTTTCATGTTGCTGCTGATCTGTTTCATGTTGATGTGTTCATGCGTGCTCATCTACTCTCACACACTCATGTTTGTGCTGATGTTCGACAATGTTTTTATGCTATTAGTGCTTAGTGTATTTTTAGTTGTTTTTCTTAGTTCATATCTTAGATGTTATACTGTTTTTCTTTTACATTTTATTGTTGGATGTAACTGGGACCCTGCGTACATAATCTCATTCCACCACATGTACCACATGTGATGTGTATGACAAATAAATCTCTCTGACTCTGACACTTGAAATCATACGTGATATTCTTGTCTCACTATTTTCAATTCTTCTGAGGATCCAGTGTCTCCTCCGGTGGTTTAGTGTAGTCTAGCTACAAAATAGGATGCAGATTTTCCTCCGTCGGTCGTTTGTCAGCAAAGTGAAATGAGCACACCGTGTTTTTTTTGGGTGGTCTCTTCAAGTTCGCATTTTTCAGCCACATTCTTCTTAATTCTTCATCTGTAGGTAGGAGATGGAAACTATACTGCTTTTCACAGGAACACTGAACACCAGCCAACAAGGACTGATAGGACTCCCTTTTTCAGCTTGACAGCCTCCCTAACCCGGGGTGTCCACGAGGATGACCACCGTGAGAAGCAACAACAGCCTTGCTTTTCCCTTTTTTGAAAAGGGGAACCACCACCCCGGTCTGCCAATCCAGTGGCACTGCCCCTGATGTCCATGAAATGTTGCAAAGGCGTGTCAACCAAGACAGCCCCACAACATCCAGAGCCTTGAGGAAATCAGGGTGAATCTCATCCACCCTTGGAGCCCTGCCACCACAGAGCTTTAACTACCTCGGTGACCTCAGCCACGGTTATGAACAGGCCAACCCCAAAGTTCACTGACTCATCTTCCTCCATGGAAGATGTGCCGGTGGGATTGAGAAGGTCCGAGAAGTATCCCTTCCACCTCCCGACAACATCACTGGTTGAGGTCAATACCTTCACTGAATACAGTGTGTGCTGCTTTCCCCTCCTCAGCCGCCTGGTGGTTTGCCAGAATCTCCTCAGAGTCGACCGAGTCTCTACCCAACACCTCCCACATGAGCTTTTGTCACAGCAACAGCCAAGGCTGTAGATCGCCTGGCCCTCCAGTACTCAGCTGCTGAGTCCCACTGGCCAACAAGGACCGATAGGTCTCCTTCTTCAGCTTGACAGTCTCCCTAACCCGGGGTGTCCACCACCGAGTTTGAGGATGACCACTGTGAGAAGCACTGACAACCTTGCAGCCACAGCTCAAGGCAGCCACTTCAACAATTGAGGTGCGGAACATGGCCCACTCAGATTCAATGTTCCCCGCCTCAGCTGGGATGCGATTAAAGCTCTTCTGGAGGTGTGAGTTGAAGATCTTTCTAATGGGTTCTTCTGCCAGGTGTTCCCAGCAAACCCTCACTACATGTTTGGGTCTACCGGGTCTGTCCAGCATCTTCCCCTGCCATTTGATCCAACTCACTACCAGGTGGTGATCAGTTGACAGCTCAGCTCCTCTCTTCACCCGAGTGTCCAAAACAAACGGCCGCAAATCAGACGACACGACTATGAAGTCCATCATCGATCTACGACCTGGGGCGTCCTGGTGCCAAGTGCACTTACGGACACCCTTATGTTGGAACATTCCGTTTATGACTAGCACAGAAGTCCAACAACAGAACACCGCTCGGGTTCAGATCAGAGGTCGTTCCTCCTAATCACCCCCCCAGGTCACACTGTTGTTACCCACATGTGCATTGAAGTCCCCCAGCAGAATAAAGGAGTCCCCAGCTGGTGCACCTTCCAGCAGGAGACTGGATACTTTGAGCTGCCATTCGGCGTGTAGCCACAAACAGTCAGAGCCTGACCCCACACCTGAAGGCGCAGGGAAGCCACCCTCTCATCCACCAGAGAAAACTCCAACACACAGTAAGTCGAAGTGCTAAGAGTAGACCACAGCAGCTCGATGTCTCTCAACATGGACAACTCCAGAGTGGAAGCGGCTTCATTTTTTTGCTTAATAAAAATTGCCATAATGCGACCTGTTGACGATGGACATTCTTTTGCCAACGATTTTACATCTTTTCTTTCAGAACAGAATTTAGCCCACACGTTTTTCATATTACAGATGATGTGTTGTTTTTATTCCAAGACGGTCTGAAGATAGATATTTGTGCATTAACCCCAAAACCCAACTGTCTTATAGCTCGAGGGGTAAAGAGTTTTACATACAACTGATGTCCACAACCTGTAAAAGCAGTCCTGTTGAACAGATTTAGCAGGCGGGCCTCTGCCGTGACGATTATTACGACGGTAAATAATAACAGTGTAAAATGTTAATCTGGCAAAGAACTGAAACATTAAGTCCCTTTTCAGAAACATGAGATGTCCTATATGATGTACATTAAGAAAAGAGCAGCCCTTCAACTGATCAGGCTCTGTTATCTCTACCTTTTGTACATTTAAATCCACGAGTCATGCACTGAACCACACACTGATCAGCTGTGCAGGTGTTGTTGTGATGTCATCGTGAGGAGTTACATATTTCTCAGTCAAGTCAAAGCAAGTTGGTCTGTTTTGGCATGAAGATGCTCATCATCCCTTCAAGAATCCTGATGAATGTTGTTGCCATGGTGATTTGTGGATGAAAGTTGTCGTGAGGCCAGCAGGTTCAGTGGTTTGTGTGGATTTAACTGATGTTGCCACCTTTCAGTGTCTTGCACGTGATCTGTCCCAGTTTGGTCATCAGCTTTCTGTCTTTCCACTGAGCCACACACTCGTCTGAGATCTTCAGGTCCACCTACAATCAAACGTTAAACACACACAAGTTCATTCCATGCAAATGAATCATTCAGAGAAGAAAAAACAACAAAGGAAAGCGAGGACTTACCTGCAGTTTCTCCCACACCTTCTTCTTTGGGTTCAGTCTATCATCTGGATTGCCTGACTCCCACCCTTCCACGAAGACCCGCTCCCCTGGCGACGAACCCTCTGGAGGATCAAGTGGCTCCACTCTTCTGGGCTCCCCTTCTCTGAACGACCAACGAGTGGGGGGATCACAAAAAACCAGCCTGAAACATGTTTTTATAAATACAAACACACAAGACGCCACTCACATCGAGGCACACAGCAGCATGGCTTGAGACTCGATCCCGCGCATCTTCTGCGGTTTGAGGTTGCACAAGAGCAACACTGTTCGGTCTTGCAGCTCTTCCTGTGAAACGTAGGCCACCAGCCCACTGACAACCGTCCTCGGCTCTGGTTCTCCCACATCGATCTTCTCCAGGTACAGAGAATCAGCATCTGGGTGCTGCAGAGACCACAAGTGTTCAACAGACCGAAAACCAACATTACGGTTTCATGCTCAAAATCATCAAGACGACCTGAGTCACTTACTTTCTCCACGCTGATGACCTTGCCCACCCTGATGTCCAGTCTTGAGGGCACCAGCTCATCGTCTTCTCCTCCACCACCTCCTCCTCCTCCTGCTTTAGCCCCCTTTCCTCCCGTTTCTGATAACACATAAAAATAAAGGATCAGTCTCAGCAGAAAGGAAGCTGCAGCGCTGTGTCACCATGTTTGTGTCGTCAAACACCAACTTGTTTTCGAGGAACTGGGATAGGCAGAGTTGGTAAGTTTTCGAAGCTCAGGAGACTGAAACTTCTTCCTGATGGGCTCCAGTAGCTCGTTCAGGGCTGCTTCCACTGAGGCCTTCAGGTCTCCAGGATGGATCAACTAAAATGAGACGATGAGAAGGAAACTCATCATTTTAGTTCAGTTTGCATTCATCTAATAAACTACCGTACTTTGTCGTACACGTCGCACCGCCGTATGAGGGCATCAGTCCAAATATGTTGAATAAAGTGGAAAAAAACATAAGACACTTCGCCATATAAGTCGCACCTATTATGCATCACCGCTGAAAACCAGGAAAAGTGGGCTGGTGTTGTGCCAAAAATCGATTGGCTGCTTAATGGCAGCCGCGGGAGCATGCACGGGAGGACTTTAACAAGATTGACGCTTAAAAACAATTATTTGTTTGCTCGACATTATAACAAAGCAGTCTCAGTTGAACTTTTCCTTAATAAATGCATTTTAATGGTCAAATCAGCTGCGTTTCTCCTGGGCGGCGCGGAGGAATGCAGCTGATTTGACGTTTGCTCCAGGAGTTCCGGAGTGAGACATAGGTGGCGTTGTATGGCAAGCCAAGAGCCTCATTAATATTTACTTTTACCTATTAATGAGACACTTGGCTTGCCATATTAGTCAAGGGCCCTCTAGTGGCTGAAAATGGTACTGTTCAATAATTTCCATGTCAGAATGAATGAAATCATCAGATCTCAGCCATAATTAGATTAAAAATATGTGGAAAAACGTATATTAGTCGCTTCAGTGTATAAGTTGCAGGACTTTCAAATTTATGCAAAAAGTTGTGACTTATATGGCAAAAAATATGGTACTCTGACTAAGGCTCACCTCTGCAGCAAAGTCCTTTTCCACTTCTTCAAACACAGCATAAATTCTGTCTCCACCCCATTTGGGATCCCTTTTGATGGAGAACTCTGAGGCACAAAGATCCAAATAATGTTTTGTTTTTTTAAACGTAGAGAACAAACAAGACATGACAGGAAAAATGAAATAAAATCAATGGAATGGCGTTTTACCTCCTCGTAGTGGGAAGAGGACATATTTGACAAAAGAAAGAACTCCATTGTTCTGGATGTTGCCTGGCTCACAGAAGGCCTTCTTCAGCTTCTTCTTCACGTCCTCTTTGGAGTCCAGCAGATCGATCTTCGACTCCTAAACTCACGCATGGATAAGAACATTAGACATCGCTAGAAGTCTGAAGAAAAATCACTCTTTAAAACATTTCTGCAGCCTTACTTCTTCTGAAGAGCTCATTTTAACCCCCGTCAGTCCTGGAACCATTGGGTTCATTAGATGAGCTCGCTTTGCGTAACCAAGAGAAGGCAGGTACTGCAGGAAAAACAAAGCCATCGTCAGAAAATAAAAACAATAAGATTGTAAGCAGATAAAATGACCTATAATGGAGCTCAGGATCTACACATTTTCAATAAACTGTCGTGTTGTTTGATTACTCAGCCTTTGTATTATTCATGATGTCTTCAACAAGCGGTGAGTTAATAACACGTTCTACAACGAGGCAGTCTCAAGTTGATAACTCACACTCCAAGCTGCAGACACATGTGCGCCTGTGAGTTTGACCTGCACTCCTCCAGCTGGGTGCTGCTGGAAACCATCAGGCTGAGAGTTGTATTCAACCCTGGACTCCACTTTTCATTTGAAATGAAAAATGTCCCCGGATGAGACGCCTTCAGCTACAGAAACATGTCCAGTTGTCTTGTCTATGAAACTCTAAGGATTTGAATACAACCATAGGGAAAGGGTTGAGTGATGCGTCACTCTCTTCGTCCAACTGATCTGCCTCCATCTCACCAAACCTCCACCCTTCTTCTTGGCTACATCCGTGAACCTTCACTATGGTCTTCCTCTTTTCCTGTCCGCTCCATAATCAGCATCTTCTGACAAATATGATGCATCCTTTCTCTGCACATGTCCAAACCATTACTTTGTCTCCAAACCTGAAGTGTCCCTCTGATATACTCATTTATTATCCAGTTGTTCTTTTTGGTGACTCACATCAAACATTTTAGCATCTCTATCTGTGCCTCCTGTGTACATCACAGCAGGTCTCACTCGCTCCCACACGTATTCTCTTTCTTTGACTTTTAATCTTCTCTCCAGTGCATACCTGCAGCTCTTTCACCTGCTCCCTACTCTCACTACAGACATCATATTTGATGGAGACTCCTGCTCGTCTTCCATCTGTCAACTTGTCCATCATCACTGAAAACAAGAAGGAACTCAGTGCTGATCCAGCCCCCACCCTGAACCCCCATCTTGTATACATGCAGGCAGTATAGCAGAGCTTTGGTGCTATAACATTTATATTTTCATCAGTGCACGTCATAGAGGTAGAGAACAGCTAAAGAAAACTGATTTTACGGTCTTTAGGGCTTTAAGAATGGCTGACAATAATTTTAATGGCAGCTCAAAGGTGTAGGATGGATCTCAAAAAAGGGAAAGTCACAAGAGACAGGAGTGAAGTTAAGTTCTCAATCCAACATTTTTCAGTCAGGTCATCTGGACAGTTTCTATTTTTTGCTGAAAGGTTTCACCTTCCATCCAGAAGGCTTCATCAGTCAAGGAAACACACTACACAAAACTGATTCTTCCCCCAAACAGCTTACTCCAAAGTGGAACAAACCAGTTATGTTGGTGCTAAGATGGTGTCTTGGGCACGCCCCCTCCTCTGGTGCCGGCCCTCTTCCTCGTCGACAGTCGAGCACCAACATAACTGGTTTGTTCCACTTTGGAGTAAGCTGTTTGGGAAAAGAATCAGTTTTGTGTTGTGCGTTTCTTTGACTGATGAAGCCTTCTGGATGGAAGGTGAAACATTTCAGAAAGAAAAACTGTCCAGATGACCTGACTGAAAATTGTTGGATTGTATACCTGGATTATTGAGCATCGACTTTGTTGGTTAAGTTCTCATTCCACTTTGAAGCACCAGTTGTTAGAACAAATAATCATATGATGATTTGACAATAGTATACCACACATTACATATATTTTATTATGACGAGACGCTTCTCATGACAGATTGGTTCCGGTAAAGACAAGTGAAAAACCACAACACATGAACACGATCTACCTTCTCTGCCAGAGTGAAAATCTTCCTCTGGTCAACTCCTCCAAACTGGGCATCCACCTTCAGATACTCTTCATCCAAAGCCTAGAGACAATTTATTTTAACATCACTAGTTCTGAATGAAACATTCACCTCAATGTAGCAGTAAAAAAAACCCAAATTTTAATTTTTATTACTTGTAGTCCAGGGTAAAGCAGCCCACTCAGCAGAGGGTGCTCCACCTGCTTGACCACCTCAGCTCCAGCCTTCTTAGCATCGTGCTCGGTCACCATGGAGGACAGGCGGTACACATCCAGAGTGTACTCTCTGGCAAACAGGAAGAAGCATTCCTACAGCTAAGATGTGCATCTAGAAAACAGCTTTGAGGAGAAAAAGACGTGAGCACAACTGACCGGCTGAGCTGAAAGTCGGTTCCTTTAATAAAACGTAGTTTCTCCAAAGGCACGCCGATGCTTTCCAACATGGCCTTGATCACCTGCTCGTAATATTTCACTCGGAGCTCCAGCAGCTCCCAGGGAGCCTTCATGTTGTCTAGGTAAGCATGCAAGTCTGCAAACAGAACCGTTACCTGAGGGAGGGGAACAAGGAAAGAGAAACCAAATCATACATGTGATTAACCACAAATTAAACTACGTATCAAAAGACAACAAGCTTAATGATGAGTCCCCACCTCACAGCCAGCTCTGAGGAAATCTGCTATCTTGGACATGGGGACGAAATAAGCTACATGGGGTTTTCCAGTGGTCGCTGTCCCCCAGTAAACCTTCAGCTCTCTCTCCTGAAGAACCTGCTTCACCTTCTCTTCCCCCAGGACCTCCTGAAAGAAAACCACACAACCTGTCAGACAGAACACTGAAGGACGTGTTGGATGTGTCTACATGTCAGCATGTGTCACCTGCAGGTTCCTGGTGATGAGGCTGAACTTCTCCTCTGGACTGAGCTGCTCTCCCATGGTGACGGAGGGTCCTCTGGCAACAAAACAAAGTGTAGGTTTTTAGGTAAATACCTTTTTGTCATTACACCGTTTTCAGTTTCATGTTAACCCGAGCCTGAAAGGAAAAGCAAACAGCTTGGCTCACTGGTTTGGTTGTGACACATTTAGAACCACATATTAATGTATAATAATGACTGTATTTATCCTACAGTATGAGAATGATGACGCATGCATTCAACAGATTTTCACCACTGAAGAATAACAAAGCCGGTCATTTAGTTTAAATCTTACCTTTGTTTGTTGATTTATAAACATTTTAGACAGCTTTAATTACCGACAATAGGAGTAGTAATCGATTAACGGACTAAGTTAATACGCCAGTAAGGACTTTAACTTAAGCTAGTTAGCTGCCACCATGTGCGGCTAACATTATTCTGCCACAGTGCTAATAAAAAGCCTTTACCTTATATTAGCTTCACCTAATTCACGGCCGTGACATTCTGTCTAAAAGGAATATTTCAGAGTCGGTGACTTACCTCAGAAACTGCTCTTTCAGTGAGACGTGGATGAGGGAGAACCGGCTGAATGGAGCTGTCAGAGAGTTGCATCAGCGGCGGCCGCTCTGCTTTCGATTCACTCCGTCTGCCCCCAGACAGAAGCAATCGAGCGCTCATAGCGTATGGATATGGACTCAAGTTCAAG